AAAAAAAAAAACACTCCAAAGAGAAAGAATACTATCTGAAATCAGTATACAATAAATGTCAATATTTAATTGCATAAGAGACATGGAAAATAGAAACGTGAAAAGATTCGAAAAAACAAAAACTAAGTGATATGGTAGAAAATGAAACAGAACCTAATAACTCATGATCTAGTCTCAACTCTGCTACTAACCAGCTGTGTACACAAAGAAAGCTCATCTTCCTTTCTTGGGGAAAGGTTTACCCATTGGTAAAATGTAGAATTTAAGGTTCCTTTTATCTCTTGAATACTCTCATATCTCTGGTGTACCACTGTTGTTGTTAGGTGTCATCAAGTTAGTTCTAATTCACAGAGACCCTTTGTATAGAAGAACAAACACTGCCTGGTCTTGCGCTATCCTCAACAATTGTTACTGTTTGAACCCAGTGTTGCAACCACTGTTTCAGTCTCTCTCATCAAAGGTCTTCCTCTTTTTCACTGACTCTCCACTTTTCCAAGCATGATGTCCTTCTCCAGGGTCTGGTTCCTCCTGATAACACAGCCAAAATATGTCAGACAAAGTCTCTCTACCATAATTTCTAAGGAACATTCTGCTTGTACTTCTAAGACAGAATTGTTTGTTTGTTCTGTCACTTCATGGTATATTTAACATTCTCTGCCAGTACAATTCAACAACAATTCAAAGGCATCAATTCTTCAGTCTTCCGTATTCATTGTTAAGCTTTCACATACATACCAGATGACTGAAAATACCACAGCTTGGGTTACTCGTCATCTGACGAGTAAGGCGCACCTAACCCAAGCAATGGTGTGCCATTAAGTATAACAAAATAAATCTATTTCACTTGGGAGGAGGGACTATGATCATATGTTCAAGATTTATTAGTTTTGAGAATTCATTTTTCTATGCAAGGGCTCTAGGGAATTTCAAATTTTGGAAATTTTGAGTTTTACTAACATCCGACTTACATTTTGATGTTGTAATTCAAGTTTTATTATCTAAATCTAATTTTTCCACTGGTTTTAATCTTAGTCCCTGGAGTATACATCAAAAAGATAAATCCACTCAGCTTCTCTAGTGCAATTTTCAAAGATGTCAAATAAATAGAAAAATAAACAGAGAACAGACTATTATAATTTAATCCTTCCCTTTGTAGTAAAGAAATAATGACACTAATTGAATGTGTTAATTTTTGATGAGAGACTATTTAAACAGATTTAAGGAGATCAGCTTTCCCACTGAGTTTGGAAAATTGAGTAGGCCAATTGGCAGCAGTTATGAAATAATAAAGATTAACATCCCTATTTGTGATATGGGTTAAATTAAATCAAAAGCAGTGAATTTCTCTTCCCTCACTGAAAAACGCTATACCTCTCAGAAATAGCTTTGATGTAAACTGAGAGGAAAAAGAAAGAGAGAGAAAGATTTCTAAGAGTGATGCAGTGCCTAAGGCATTTCACTGCTAACCAGAAGGCTGGCAGTTCAAACCCACCAGCCACTCTGTGGAAGGAAGACAGGGCAATCTACTGCTGTAAAGATGTACTGCCTCAGAAACCCAAAGGGGGTCACTATGAGTCAGAACTGACTCTATGGCAGTGGGTTTGGATTTGGTTTTGGTTTAAGAAATGCCAAGGGAGGCAGCTGAAAAATAATTTTGTTACCAAAGAAAGGCATTATCAATCTAACACGAAACAGCTAGAGTAAGAATTTTTTTTTAACCAGTAACAGCATATCATTGTTGTGTTCAATATCTACTATGTTAAGATTATTAAACTCAAAGTATAATTCAGCAATCAAACTATACTGAAATACTGTTTTTTACCCATTAAATTGGCAAAAATCCCAAAGTTTGAAAATACACTTGTTGACAATGTTGTAGAATTACGTTGGTGCTGAATGTGTAAATTGGTACAATTTATGGGGAGCAATTTGATGACAGCCATTAAAATTACAAACATAAACTATATACACTGACTAAGCAATTCCATTACTGAGAATGTTTCCTACTGATGCACTTGCACATCAATGAAATTACACACACAGTTATTTGTTACATCATAATTTATAGCAGTAAAAAAACTCAATGCTGTCGAGTCAAATCCTACTCATAGCGACCCCTTCTTGGGTTTCTGTGGCAGTATCTCTACAGAAGTAGATTGCCCAGTCTTCTTTCTGAGGCGTGGCTGGTGGGTTTGTACCGCCAGCCTTCTGGTTAGC